CTGCTTTAATCTGCAGAGTTCTCTCAAAATACTTCTCAAACAAAGGAGGAGGCAACAATGCTTGATAAGAAATGTACTCATTACCTTGCTCATGTAACTGTAACCCCTCTGTACAGTATTTTCACAATAAAAAATTTATTAAAAGAAAAAGCTCAGGGACAGTGCCCAGGTCCTGAGTTCAAGCTCCATCACCAACAAAAAAATAAATAAATTAAACCCTCAAAAAAATAACAACCCAAAGAGTTTAAAGCTCGAGTGAAGGAATATGCACGAAACAAAAATATTCACTACTATTTTATGGCCCTGAAGAATGATGAGCTAATAGACACTACTCAGAAAGGAAATTGCTCTCATTTCACGAATCACAGCTGTGAACCAAAATGCAAAACCCAAAAATGGACTGTGAATGGACAACTAAGGGTTGGTTTCTATCAGGCTCAGAATTAACATCTGACTATCAGTTTCAATGATATGGAAAAGAAGCTCAGAAATGTTTCTGCGGGTCAGCTAATTGCCAGGGTTACCTGGGAGGAGAAAGCAGAATTGCATCCGAGCAGCAGCAGGGGAAATGAAGAAAGAGCAATCTGGAAAGAAGGACTCAGTAGATAGAGAGCTAGAAGCACTGATGGAAAATGGAGAGGGCCTCTCGGGTGCTCAGTTTATCCCAGCTAATGGTTAGAATTGAAACTTTGGAGCAGAAACTTACCTGTCTTGAGCTCATTCAGAACACACACCCACAGTCCTGCCTGAAGTCCTTTCTAGAATGTCATGGGCTATCTCAGTTGTGGATCTGGATGGCAGAGCTTAGTGATGGCCAGGAAAGTAACCAGAAGCTTCAGGAAGAGATTATAAAGACTTTGGAATACTTGCCCATTCTTACTAAAAATATGTCCGAGGAAAGCAAAGTACTTCCAATTATTCAACGTTGGTCTCAAACAAAGACGACTGTCCCTCATTGAGTGAAGAGATGGATATTCCAGTGAGAATATATCACATTCTCACATACTACTCAAGCTGACCACAGAGGTGGACAGATACCCCCAAAGAAACTCATGTTCCACAGACTTAAAATTGTAAGTGAAAATAGCATGGCCAGTGTAACCTCTGATGCAACCAGCGAGCTAGAAGGTAAGGATAGCAAAAAGGACCTTGATCAGTTAGAGACCGTCACTGTAGAGGAAGAAGAGGTGCTGCAGTAACAACTCCTCCTGCAACAGCTGCCTGAGCCCAACGCTGAGAGCTAAACACGACAGAGGCCAGTAAGCCACTCTCAAAGCCAAAGTGTGACACTGAGATTGAGCCCAAAGACAGCAATGGCACAACTGGAAGAAACCATTGTGGAGGAG